ACAGAAGCTCTGTCGAGGCAGGGGCTCTGTTTGCTGCCTTCACTGGGTGTCCCGAGTGCTTAGAAGAGCGCCTGGTATATGGTAACACGGGGGGAATGACAGGATTCTCAGGCACTGGTGGAGCTGAGCAGTAGCTGTAGAACAGAAATTTATGGAGACGCCAACATACTTAATTGTGTCATTTTATCCAAGAGGAATCAGCCCCTTATTCAAGGCAGGTCTGAAAAAGGCAGAGCTGGATTTTGCCAGGCGGGTCAGATGAAAGGAGAATGGGGTAAACTGTTTAGTGTACAGCTATGTAGGTTTGGGGTTAATGATGGACCATGAAGTTTTCCTTGGAGAGGGAGGAAATGAAGACAGAAGGTTGTCAGATGGACGGGGAGAAGTGTAAAGTGGCTGTAGTTCCTGAATAGGTTGAGGAATTGGCATGCCGAGGGCAGAAGCTGAGAGGATAAAGGGTGGAATGTCAGTCTTTTTTCAGAATACACAAGCGTTCCTGGTGATATGTTCTAGGATATGGCCATAACTGACCTGGAATGGAGGTAAAGGGCTCTAAGATGAGGAGGGGTATTCAGTGAGAGGCCAGATTATTGGCTGGTCTGTCCACATGGATGTCGGGGACTCTGACTGTGTTCCTGTTCTGAGCCTCTCTCCTGTCCCAAGGTCTCCACAGAATTGGCATTTCCTGCAACTCTAAGCTTCAGTCCATGGCATGACTCTGGACAAGAAGGCAGAAACGGGGCGGTGAGAGAGAGGGCTGTAGTAGACATATGTTTTCTTTTTGTTTTTGCTTTTGTTTTGACACCCAGCATTCACTCACGTTTTGGAAATAGTCTTTCTGTTGCCCTCTGGGGAACTAACGCCATTCTCAGTCTCAGTCCAAGAGCAAGTGGAGTTGTCTGTCCTGACACTCTTACTATCACGATGGGTATATAACTCAGGCTTGGCCAAAAAGATCGGTCCATGCTTTTGGCTACAGTGATTGATCAGGGTTGGGCATGTGACCCAGCTGGAGACAGTAAGGCACAGTGGGACGTTTGAAGGGACTAGTGGGAGAGACAACCCATTTTAGCTGCACTTGATGCTTGGAAGATGTAGCTACGAACTTGCCTGACAGGAACTGTTACAATGAAGCCAGTCCAGAATATAGAGCCAAGAAATGGATAGAAATGGAGTCTTGATGGCATCAACCGAGCCCCAGCAGCGCCCTCCTCCCTGAGGGTAGCCTTACTACCAGACTTTTTCAGGTGCCTGAGTCAACAGATCCTCTTTGTATTTGCTGTCATTTACATCCAAAGAATCCCTCCCAGTATAAGGAGGCTCTCCACCCCGGTTCCCTGTTCTGAGCTAGCACACTGAATATGTATTACCTTCTCTGTCCTTCAGCTTGTGCCCTTCTGTAAAGGAGGATAAAGAAACCTACTCCAAAGGATTGTAAAGATTAAACAGGATAATGTGCATAAACGCATAAGTTTGTTCCAGAACACTGAAGTACAACAAGCAGTACTTAATTTTTCTAAATTAAATTAAATCTGGCTCAAAGCGCCCATTTTAAAGGGCGGGAAGATATCCAACGTTAGTCATTACTGGGGGCCTTTTGCCTGTTTAGTTTAGTGTTCACTGTCAAACAAATATGTAGGAAAGAGCCTGTGATCTTGATTCCATATTGGTTGCCCCTGAGATGTTCATTGTCCAAGTCCATCTGGCCCATTAAAAGGCCAGTGGCAGCACAGCCTCTGTGCCAAGTGTGAGCCATGCAGTGTCTGCTGTGGCTCTCAAGATGAGGGGACTTGTTGATTAGTCATCTCAGCGACATCACTTCATCCCGTAAAACATTGTGCTGTCTCCTAGAGGACTTCCACACAGAACGTGTCCACTTAAGGGACTCGTCTCTACATCCTTGTTCTCTAGGCATTGGAGCCACTGCTACCTTTAGACAACTCTCTCTCTTTCAACCCAGCACTTGTGTCAACCTCTGTCTCCTCTCTCCTGGGGACACCCAGCTAAATTCTCCTCCCACGTGAGGGTCTGGACAGGACTGTACAACAGGTGCCTCACAACTTCTGTTTGGGGCCAGGAAACATGAAAGCCATTGATAACCCCTGAGACCAGATGCCCAGAACTTTCTGTAAGACAAAAGGGGAAAGTTAACTTTTATTCCTTCTGGAGTCCCCTCTGGCAGGGAGTAGAAACAGCAATCAATAGCTTGGTAAATTATCCTGCCTCAAATGAAAGTTGCCTCAAGCTGGGCAAGAATCCCTGCAGAGGAGAATTACCCAGTCTTGTCCTTGTCAGGCCAACCCCCTCCCACAGTGAAGCATTGCTAAACATGTGTAATAATCCATTCCTTTCCTACCCGCTGGCCCCCTAGCAGGAAGGAACAGACCCTGAGTCTCCTGGGAGAGATGAGGAGACAGCTTCCACAAGTCTGTGAGCTGCCACTGGCCTCCCTAATGAAGACCAAACGTGACCTTGTGACCTCAGGAAAGTATCAGCCTAATTTAGGCTCTGATCCAGGGCCAATGGAAGTTCTAGAAGAAAGGCCTCAAGAGAAGAGCCCCTTCTCATAGCCTGGGCCCCTTCATTGTGACTGCAGATTGGGGCACACTTCTCAGTTTTAATCCCCATGAAGGCTGCCACAGGGAAGCTGATCCCCTGGCACCTGGCACCAGAGAAATTCACAATACCTGAAGCTGAGATCTTGGGTTCCTGTGCCCAGTGCACATCAAGGTGTCAGTCAATTCATGCATTTTATTTGCCCTAACATTAGGTTTGGAGTGTGTGCTTGAGGTTGTAAAAATTCTGGTAGCCCATTCCCATTACCTTCTATGTCAGTGACAATTCTTTGGGCACCACAAAGTATGATGTAAATGAGATGCCTCTGAACTTGCACAACACTGATCCCTGGGTGTGGGCACAAAGCACATGAAATCTTTTTCTAGAGAAATTGATCCTCATCTCTGTAATCATTGTTCAGCTAATACACTTTCTTGCTTTTGATGACAGTCCTGCTTTCCCATAGGAACAGGAGTCTGGGAAAAAGGAAAGCAGTCCTAGAAGCAGAAGAAGAGTATGAGATCACTCCTGGATGGTGCTGCCACCTCATTTGGACAGGCCACTTCCTAGATGTGCTAAGTGTGCAAATTATGTCTCATTGACTCCTCTAATGTTTCTCTGAATGGAAGCAAATATCTGGGCACCAGGTGTGACTTGTCATGTCACCCCAGCCAGTAACTCAGACCCTTTAAGTCACCACCTCTCCTTGGGGTAGAAGTCCTCGGGCCAGGAGTACATGGAAAACATCCGAGAATGGGAGTGACATGCCTTAGTACTGGCTTGCCATCAATTGTGTGGCTCATTCTTTCTGATGTTCAAGCTGTGAGAATCAAATGTGAAATGATGGATGTGCTATTTTAATGTATTAATAAGAGCAGAAATTAAAGCTTGCAACCTGTAGGGTTTGCTTTCTTTATAAGCCTGGCTATCTCTACAGGAGCTGAAGGCTGCTTCTTTAGGCCTGTGGTCTAGGATCTAGAGCACAGTGGGGAGACTATGGTGGAGCCAGGGTGAGCCATATTCCACCTAATTGTTCCTCCCCTCTAAGTCTGAATACTGGCAGTGGTGAGTCAGGTGGTCCTACGGGCTCCTTTCACTCTACTGTTCATGAGAACCCCACACTACCTTTACCTCCATGCCACCTTTCCCTCCTTTGGACGCTCCACCCTCTTTGATGTTTTCTTACCAGCCTCCGCTCCACTTAGCTGTTGAACAGCTTTGACCTTGATGACATGGAGATGGATGAGGACAAGGATGAGGACAAGGCCACTTGACACCTTTCGCCACTTTTGCTTCCGTGAACTGAGTGGGGTGTCCAAAAAGAAACCTTGGTGTGAGGAAGACTTCTAAGAAGGTTCCAATGATCCCCACCTCCTGATATTCACACCCTTGTGTAAACCCCTCCCCTTGAGTGTAGGCTGGACTTAGTGATTTGCTTCTGACTCACAGAATAAGGGAAACGTGATGGGATGTCATTTCCATTATTAGTTTACAAAAGATTGTAACTTCTGTCTTGCTAACAGACTCTCTCCTGGCTTTGATGAAGCAAGCTGCCATGGTGGAGAGGCCCACATGACAAGGAACTGAGGTGGCCTCCAGCCAACTCCAGCCCACAGCCAGCCAGGAATTGAGGATCTCAGTCCAACAGACCTTGAGGAACTGCATCCTCTCAACAACTATATAAGTGAGCACAGAAGTGGGTCCTGCCCAGTCGAGCCTTCAGATGAGACCCCAGCCCCAGCTGACACCTGAATTGCAGCCTTGTGAGAGACCCTGGAGCAGAGAACCCAGGTAGGCCTTGCCTGGATTCCTGACCCACAAAAACTGTGTTAATAAATATGTGTTTTTAAGCCACAAAATTTTGGGTTATCCATTACACAGCAATAGATAACTAACACACTCCTAAATTACTGTAACCTTGGTGTGAGATGTAGCATGGCTGGGAAGGCAGGCACCAAATAGGAGGACACCCTCCCTGACAACATTCCTGCAGATACTGTCTTCATGCTCAAAGACTATCCCATGTTCTCTTAGCTGCAGTGGTATCATTCTGCTCTACCAAGCCCTGATCAGTCTCCAGGAGGTGAGGCCTAGGTAGTGTTGGGTGGAGTGGGTGGCCAGGATGGAGTCACAAGGAGTGATGATGAGGTCATTCTTCCCCTCCTCACTTTTTTCTTCCTTTCCCACTCACTCCAGCATTACATTTTCTTTACTCTGTGTCTCCTTTTCCTCCAAATTCTGGGTCGCTGCCCAATGCCCATTCCTACAAATGATGGCCAGGTGATCTGTTGGTCTTGCAATAATGCTGTCAAGCTAGGCATCCTGAGGAGGTTTCCCTGAGGAGTGGCTCTTCCCATTCGTCAGGGTGCCCTCACAAGCAAGGAGACCTCATTGTCGAGCTCAAAATATGCCTTCCGGACAGATTAACTCCCCACGTATAACAGATTCTTCAGCTGGACCCACCCAGTGTCCAGACCTCGCCCTGGCCACTCCAGTGTCCACAATCACAAAACCCATCCATACACACCCCACCCCCCATTGACCACCCACCTGTGATACTGTGGAATCAGCAACTTTCTCTAAATGAAAATAAGCCACTGTTTTCAGGGAAATGTTTGTATCCCTGGGCCTTTTCAGAGCTGCAAGTTCTGTCCTCCCTACTGCTCCAGGAAGGGTAGAGGAAGCTGGAGGGTGAACTGCTACCCATTTTCATTAGGGTCAGGTGACCCTATGAGGGGTGGGGACATGGCTCATGACCCCAGACTTCATGAGGGAGAGAAGGGCTCTTAGGAGCAGGTGACATTTATTCCTCACCAAGAGATCCATGAGGAAGATTTCTCCCTACCCCCCACCTCAGGGCCTAAACACTCCCACACTTCCAATTCCAAAACTTTCTGAGGCAACAAGGGGGAATTCTGGCTGTATTATTCCAGAGGAACTCATCCTACCCTGCAGCTGTGTATAGTTCAGGACAGTGAGGAAGCAGATGAAAAGACAGTTTGAGCCAAGTTCTGGACTTGAAGGGTTTTTCTGTCTTTGAAAAGGCCTGAAAGTTTTTAGAGTGAACTTCTTGTACTTTTTATGAAAAAATAGTGTTTTGAATAGAGGACATCTCAGTGGGGTCAAATAAAGGACCCAGGATAAAACTGAGAAGACCACTGTCGGGCCCCCTACAAGGGACTGGTCATCTTGTAGAAACCAAAAGAGGAAATCAGTCAGAGCTGACCTCCTTCCTTCCTTTCCCTGAGCACAAGCCCCAGGATACCCCAAACCCACGCCCCCAGTGCACCACCCAGAGAACACCACTCTCTGTTAGCAGAAACATTTTTTAGGAGGATCAGTATCCTCTGTTGTGCTAAAGAAAGATTGTTCTCATCGGAAGATGTTTTATCACGAAAACTGTGAGCCTTTCTCAACAAGGACTAAATAATTTCTTTGGGGACATTTTTTTCCCTGGGAGTGTTGGAGAAGCGTTTTCTGTTTGAATAGAAGAGTCAAATCTCTGAACACAGTGCCTTCATCACGGGTGTGGGTGGCCAGAGGGACCTGGCATACCTAATGCATGCAGGTGGGGCTTGGATGGGGCTCAGGCTCCCTGGAGGGCTGGGAAGCCGGTTGACTCTGGCATAAATGCTGGTCCTTGAAGGCCACAACTCTCTGGAGATGTCTGATCCTGTCTCAGTTCTAACACTTGTAAGACAACTCTGGTGAGCAGAGACAGCATCTTGGCTGCGGGACTTGGTACTTGCCCATTCCCCCTGCTGTCAGTCAGAGAAAGCCCTATAGTTGGAGGGATGTCCCTTGTCAGCCTCTACCTGGGCCTGCAGTTCCTCCTTCTGCTGACTTAACTCCATGGCCTCAGGTTCATGCCTACATGCCAGTTTCTCCTCTAGGATCTTCCCAGTGGCTGTCGTGAGCTCATGAGCTTCAGGAGGCCCACAGCTCAGAAGGAGAGCTGCACTTGCAGCGGGGTCTTGGTGCTGCGCAAAGGTTGACATGAACTTGGCTTTTTGCTGGGGACTTTCCTGCCCTGTGATTTTTCTCTTGGAATTGATCCACTGAAAAAAAAATTGCTTAGTCTTTATTCTGAAGTAACTTTCAGGAGAAAACTGTTCATTCTGTGACAGAGACAGGGAAGTGCCCTCTAATTCTCTGTCCTCAGTAGAGTGTCTCTTCTTTCTGGCTTTAGGTGTCCCAGCTCCTGAATCCTCACTTCCACATTCTCCTGTTTTGGAGCCCAGAGGCCTCACTCTCTTTGCAGCTGGTGGGAAATTCTTATCCTTGCATTTCCATGAGACTCGTTCAGAGACCCAGGGCTCCTGCTCCTGCTCCATGCTGATCCGGGTGTCCTCCAAGTGGACATGCAGCACCTGGGAAGCTCCTTGTCCCCACTGGAGATGCTCTGGGACTGAGGGAGGACTTGGAAGGCAAGCTCTCTGAAATAAGGGACATGTCAGTGGGACAGCCTTGAGCCTGGCTATGCTCTCCACTCCCCAGTTGAAACTTTAACTCACTAAGGAGCTGTTTTTCAAGGTCTGATAGTTTAGAATCTTGGAGAACTGGTATTTTTGGTGAGGGACATTCAGTGGTCAGAGTAGTTTCTATTTTACTCATATTGACATTTACCATTTGGGAGCTTCCCAACTTGCTAGTTGTCAAGATGTCACAGGATTATGATTTAAGAGCACACAGCTCCTCAGCCTTGTTAAATATCTCCCTGCACCCGTTGGACACGAAAAAACATTCTAACTTTTTCTCCACCATCCTTTGGCCCTGAATCATTTCTGCTCATCACTGGAACTCACATTCACATCCCTTGGCTCATGTCCAGCCCCAGCTTGCCTTGTGGGCACCTCTGGGATGCCTCTCTTGTCTAGTAGTCTCACTCTGACTCAGTTTGTCTATGATGCTGTGTGGGAGGGGCTCTAAAGTCTGTCTGCCACGCTCAGTTGTCTGGACGTCCTCGGCAAGCTCATAGTAGATATCAGAGTGGGATGGTTTCAGGGCCCTTGTCCTTCGTTGCCCACGGATAAGGTAGCAGAGAGAGGACGATCCAGGATGGGGACTGAATTTGTTGTTCTCACCTTGTTTCCCTGAAAACTTTTAGAGGTTCCCTCAAGGGGCTTGGAAACCTCAGCTTTGGAATCCACTCCAGAAATAATGAGTGGCTGAGGAGAGAAAGTCAAATTGGGGAAGAGACTATGTTTTGGCTTCTCTCAACATACGGAATTTTATGGATTCAAGAACCTTGAGGGGCAGGCCCCACCTCTGACTCACATGAAACATTATAATATAGGCTTCTAGCACGTGTTGGGTGTTGGGATCAAGAAAAGAAAGCTCTAGAGTGCTCATCTGGCAGTACACCCTTCCTACCATTGTGTTTTTCGAATTTGTGTTCTCCGTGTTGGTCTGGGAACTCCCAGAAGGAGGGGATGGGTTGTCCTTGGCCGGCCATGAACAACACACTCCTAGAGGGATCCTCCCCACAGTGATCTGCCAAAAATTCTTGCTCAAATGTAATCTAAGAATGGTTTCATTTCATTCTGGTCTATATCCTTCCTTGAGACATTTAAGAATTCATTCCCTGAGTGATTCCTTGAGTGACACACACAAATACTTTTTGTCTCCAAGGCAGCCCTCAGACCCTTCACTAGGTAGCATTCTGAGACCCTTTGAGGGCTATCTTCTGGGCTCTTCTCTAGGCTATACCCAAGATTCCTCCTCTTGTCCTTCCTTAGGTGAAACTTTGTTGGGATCCTCTCATGGAAGCTTCCTGGGAGACTCAATTCAGCCTCTGCTAGATTCTCGCTACTCTGGCCCTGAAGCTCAGAAGCTGTGAAGCATGTCTGCCTCTGCTGAGATGTTTCTGTGAATTTACACTGAGGCTCCATCAGAGCTAGAGACTCTAGATTCCTACAGGTGTGGAGGCAGCAGTGTGGGATTAGCCTCCTTGGAGCGTGGAGCTCCAGTTTCTCCTGGGGTTCACTGGTGATATGAAAATGGCCAGGAAGGATGGAGACTGGTACATAGGTGTGGGATGACTGGCTGACCCACAGAAGACTGGGAGCTTGAGGACAAATGGCTTCTTAAGATTTTTGGAACACAGGGACTAAACCCCACAAATACACTCCACAGTCCCTAATCTAGGACGGAGAAGAAGACGGTAGGATTGGGAGTGGGAATGCAAGGTGGGCCTGGGGCTAGACCCGAGTGAAAGGTGAGGGCTGGGATTTGAGGCAAGGGTTGGGGTTGTACATGGAGAGGGGAAGAGGATGGGAATGAGGAAGTTGTAGAGATTCGTGGTCCCACATTTTGACTGCTGAAGCATTACAGACTCCATTGAATAAGATAAAATAAGACCCTAGTGGGGAACTACTGCTAGAGACCAGGAGAGTGGCCACTGGGGACTCACAGTGCAGAGAGGGAAGACTCCAGAAGAGCTTGACATACAGTAGCTGCTGACAAATGCACAGCTGCTCTGGTTTGCTTTTGGTGTTCCAGCCAGTTTTGGTGGCTGTGGTGTCCTGCATATCAAGTGGCTACATTGAATTCCCTGAAAATGTCTGTTGGTTTTCTGACCACGTTTGTTTTGAAAATAGTCCCTCCTCCTTTTCTTTCTTCTTTAAAATCTGGAAAGCCATTCTCTTTTTTATTTGTCTCTTCAAGAGTGCCTGTAGGTTAAGGCCAAAGAAAGAATGGCTACTGGCCACACTGTGCATGGTAGCAGAGTCTCCCCAGAGACAGGTCTCTGGTAGATGGAGGGAAACGTGCTCTCACTGAATATCAGAGTGTGATAATGTGGGGAAGAACATGTTCTTGGCATGAGCCTGCCAACAAGAGAATTCTGAAGTTGACAGGCTTGAACAATCATTGCCTCTGATTGTTGGGACACAAGTGGACAACCAACCAGGGCTATCTGGAGATGAGTTCTCTGGAACAGTCTTCAATAAGATGGAAATAAATTTAGATTCAGTCACAGTTAACAGATAGTTTAGCAGTGGTGAAACAGAGAGGGTTGGTGGTGTGTAATGACAAGCCAATGAATCAGTGGGATTCATTGTCTGGGACAAATTTGGTAAAGGGTTGATATCTTGGGAAAGGGTAGGGTAAACAGAGAAGATGGTATGTAGAGACAAAGTGGCCTCTGGTTGGAGAACAGAATCCACTGCCTGTGTGTCATGTGGTAGGAGACGGGGAAAGGCAAGGGGTTGGGGTGGGGAATTGTCTGCTGGGAATTTGGAATCCAAGGAGGAAAAGGCTCTGGTGGCAGAGTAATCCGGTTGTGAGGGTGAAAGAAAGTCAGGTAAGGGTGCCATGGGGTTAGGTGAGAGATTGGAGGAGGGGAGTGGGGAAGGCTCAGGCAAAGGGGCTGGTATTAGGTCTCTTGGAGAGACATCTGAGAAGGCAGAGGACACAGTGAAGGATGACTCAGTCACAGGAGCTGTGGAAGCCAAAGAAGACACAGAGAGAGTGTCATCTTCTAGGTCCTCCAGGAATAGCAGCCGATTGACCTCAGCAGTTGCGCTATTACACCTCACAGAAGGAGTCTGGACATAACAGTTGATGAAAGCCGATGGTATCATGATGCTGGCCCAGGGGGAGCAGGAGACAGGAGGTACAAAGCTGCAGCCAGAACCAGAACAAACATATGGGACCCTGGCAGGTCTGGCAAAGGTACGGCTGCCCAAGGTGTGCAGTCATGCGTCACTTGATGACGGGGATACGTTCTGAGAAATGCGTTGTTAGATGATTTTGTTGTTGTGCGAACATCATAGAGTGTACTTACACAAATCTAGATGGTATAGCCTACTACACACCTAGGCTATATGGTACTAATCTCATGGGACCACCATGGTATATGTGATCCGTCATCGACAGAAACATCATTATGCAGTGCACGACTTTATTGTGTGTGTGTTTGTGTGTGTGTGTATATATATATGTTCTGTCTAAAAAATCCAAAAGAATCAACTGAAACATTAGAACTCTTAAGAGTATTTAGTAAGAATTACAGTATCAACTTGTAAAAACCAATAGCTTCTCTGCATCTCCACAGTAAATAATTGGAAAGCATCATAAAAACACTGTATGCACAAAAGCAACAAAAGCTATTAGGAAATATGCCCACTTATTTGAAGAAAAATGTAAGATTTAACTGATGGTCATGGAAAGTATCTTAAAATTAAGAGAAATATGATGTTTCAGTTTGAGAACACTTAATATTTAAAAGACGTCAGTTCTCTCCAGTTAATCTATAAATTCAATGCAATCTCAGTTATAATTCCAGCAGCATTTTTAATGTAATTAGATGCGCTGATTTTAAAATTTTTCTTGAGGACAAAATGTAGGATGGGAGTTGCATTTATATTCATTTTATTGTTCTTTATATCTCTCACATATTTTAAAATTAATATTTATCTCTTTGATGTGTAGTAAAAGCTATAAAAGAGAAAGAAAATGTACAATATTAGCTATGAAGATTTTGAAAAAAGAACACTGAAGGAGGACTTGTTCTACTGGATATCAAAACCTGACATGAGCCATAGCAATTGAAATGGTGTTGGGATGACTGGAGAAGAGAGAGAGAGATAATTGCAATAGACATTAGACCGTCCTCTGCACGTGTGCATATTTACTATACGGAAAGGTTCGCATTTAGGATTAGAGAGCGAAGTGTGGACTATTTAATAATGGTGCTGGGAACATTAGCTATTTATTTGGAAAGAAAATAAAGTGAGAGCCCTATTTCTTAGATACATAAAAATGAATTCCAGATGAATCGAGGAGGAAAATGCAAAAACTTAGTGGAAAGATCCTTTTTAAGATGAAGCACAAAATTTGGGGCCATTAAAAAAAGATTAACAGATTTTTATAGGATACAATTAAAACTTCTGTGGATAATAGACAAAAAAGTTTATGACAATTCAAAATATGTATTTCAAAATAGATTATGACCAATAATATATAGAGTTTCTAAAACTCGTTAAAAATACTCCTGAAAAACCATAGAAAATGGGCAAATCACAGAAAAAGGAATAACAGAAAGTAGTTTTTGCCCATCCAATTGGCAAAAACTTAAAAATTTGATAATAGCCAATGTTGGTGTGGGGGTAGGAAAACAGGTACTAACACATAGTGTAGGTGGAAGTGTAAATTGATAGCTGTTTTGGCAGTATCTGTTAAAATTAAAACCAGACATTTCTTTCAACTCACAATTTTCATCACACGCACACAAAAATACACACATGAATGTTTATGGCATTGTTGATTATAATAGCCCCAAGTTGGAAATGACCTAAATGTCCATCAATAGGAGGATCCATAATAATTTATGGGACATCCATACTCTTGAATGCTAAGTGGCAGTTAAAAAGAATGAGATAGAGTTCTGTCTACTCACCTGAGACGATCTTTGACACAATATTAAAAAAAATAATAAAGTGGCAAAACCATGTATAAAGTATAACCTCATCTATATAATATATTAAACAAAGCTAATATTGGTAGAAGCACATATCAGTCTGTGTATGTGTATGTGTGTATATATAGATTATATTATACATAATAGGAGAAGGTATATATATATATATGTATATATATAGATATATAATAGAATCACAACTGGAAGAGTACCAAACTGTAAAGAGATAATCCTTCTGGAGATGGAGGAAAAAGATTGTGAGGGAGGGAAGATGTATTTTCATTGCTGATATTTATATAAACTTGTAGATAACTTGCAATGTATTTATCATATTTTAAAAATTTTCTATCTCCTTTCAAGCTTCTAATTATTAAAGGGAAATTCATGATTTCACTAGTTTATATTTGATACATTTTGTAGATGATGTACCATTACAAAAGAGAAATACAGTATTATATTTTTATGTGTTATACTTATTATTTTTTCACTCAGTAATATTAATTGGGTGGCCAGTATGTGCACAGAACACTGGATCTTTGGGCGCAGTGCCTGAGCGGTCTCTTGCTCTCCCTCTGGGATACTGTGGTTGATTTGCCTGGAAGACCATATGCCCTGTGACAAAGGGAAGGCAGAAGCATGGAGCCTGTTGCCCTGGTGCTCTCGTGGACCTCCCTAGTCTACTGAACAGAAATTCCTTTGCAATGAAGGTCAGCCCAGGGCTATTTTGTGTGTGGCAGCTGAAAAAGTCACTGGAACCAGGAGCTTCTCTGAATTTCGTATGCAGAGAATCATGTCCCTTTGCCCTTCCGTGTTTGCAAGATCTGTCATTCCTAGAAGGAAGTCAGATCGTCTGAGATAACTTGGTCCACAACTAGCCTTGTTGGCCGTTATCAGTGCTTTGTACTCTTCCTTGGGATGGTAACAAACTTAGACTGACCAGTATAAAACTTCCAAACCAATCTCTCTATTTCTCTTTCTCTGTCTCAAATGGTAGGCATTTTTAAATGCCTGTTTCCTATTTTAAGTTACATCCATTTCTATCCATGAGTCTTAAGCCAGATAGTAATTTAACTTCGGGTTTGTCAATATGAATACATGAAGCTTTAAAAAAATCCTATGCCGTTCCTTTCCTTTAGGAGAGCATCCCTGTGGTAGAGCAGAGATGTGCCACAGAAAGGGGCCTGCACTAGGATCAGAAAATTTGAGTTTGAGGCATGCCTTCCAGGACTTTTGCAAATCACTTGACTTCTCCCAGGCCTCGCTTGTGTCAGCTGTAAAATGGAGAGACTGGGGAAAAACGGAGATACGGGGGACGGGGAAAGGAATATATGTTCTGAGGAGAAAGGACTTTGAAAGGTGTAAAGCCATAGACCAGCGTAAGTCTTTATCCAAGCCCGTGTTCTCCTTCTTACACACACACACACATGCAGCTGTATGCATGCTCTGGATTTCTATTGTCTTTCATTTATGTTCCCTTTAAAGCAGGCCTGTGGACCCCTCCTCACACATTCAGCTGTTTTTTGTCACACGTACCCATTGATCTCACCGGCCCCTGAGGCCTTGGATTGACTTAGTGGTACCTTTTCGGCAGCCCCTGTTTTCTCCCAGAAGGGCATTTAGCTTAGTGTTGAAAGCACGGTGTGTTCCCTTTTTGTTAACTTAACCTCTGGGTTGTTTTTTAAAAATCAGATTAGAAAGAACACGGACCCTAGAAAGCCTGTGATATGTAAATATTTAGCCAGGCAGATAGGGATAGTAAGCATTTTCTCTCTTAACACAAAACATGATTTTATTTGCTAAAGCTGTAATCTTGTTTGATAATCCATCAGTTTATCATCAGCTGTGTGGTGAGACATAATGCCACAGGGAGATAATCAAGAACCTCCACCTGATACTACAGGGTTGATTACAGGGACTTCAGGAGAGAGTCTTCTGGAGGGGATTAGGTTAAACATAGCCTTTCTGTTTACAGTTGATTTCTTCCCAGTGCTTTTAACCATTCTGCTCCCAGCTCAGGTAAGTAGGTCATCCGACAGCATTCAAAGAGGAGTCTTTGTAGGTGCAGAACAACTAGGTGTGTCTTCTTACCAGGCCCCATTCAGTCATTGTTTCCTGCACAATGCATTTCTGAATCAAAGAGAAAAAAAGAGATGATGGTGCTCCACTGAAGACTGTATTTAAAAAAAACCCCAAACTCGGAAAAGTCCAGTTTGAAAACAAAACAGAAAATCCTTCCACCCCACAGGTAACATCATGATCTCAGCTCTAAGTAAACTGGCTTAGTAAACTGAAATTGTAATATAACGTTGATTTGTAGGACTCTCAAGGAGGTAATCTGAGGTTTCTGAGCCAGGGGCGACACGCCTATAGGGTATCCTCAGAGATCCTCCTGGTCAGGGCAGTTGGAATACACAACTCCAGGGGGCAGAAATGTAACAAGGGTAATGGTGCCCCTAGAGTGCTGCTTCTGCCATGACAAAATATCACAGATGGAGGTGGCTTAGAAACAGAAATTAATTTTCTCACAATTCTGGAGGGTAGAAGTCCAAGATCAAGGTGTTGGCAGGTTTGGTTTCTTCTGAGGCTTCTCTCCTTGGATTGCAGATGGCTGCCTTCTCGCTGTGTCCTCACTTGATCTTTTCTCTGTATCCTAATCTCTTTTTATAAGGATACCAGTCATGTTGGATTAGGGGCCACCATATGACCTCGTTTTGCCTTAATTACCTCTTTAAAGGCCCTGTCTCCAAATATAGTCACATTCTCAGGTACTGGGGGTGAGGGCTTCCACACATGAATTTTGGCAGGGACACGTGCAGCTCATAACAGAAGTCATCTGTTAAGTATGGTGGAGTCAGGTGTATGTGGATGAGTGTCAGGGGATGAAGCCGGAATGCCAAGCAGCGCCCAGATCTTGAAAGGCCTGGCTTCTCATCAGGCCAAGAAGTGTGTCAATGGGTGGGAATTGACTACCACATTTAGGCTCTGCTGGCCCCCTCAGGCTGAGGTGTGAAGGGCAGACTGGAAGGAACCACACTGTAATATGTCAGATGAGACACTGGTTTGAATTCTGGTTTTCTTCCATCACACCCCAAGGCAGTTATGTGGCAGTTAAAGGAAGGCAGTGATTCCTCAGCATTAAGAGGGTCCATGAGAACAAGGATGTGTGTGGGTGTAGGGGGACAGGTGGGTGGGAAGATGGAGGCAGCTACAGCTACAAGTTTGCCTGTAGTAGCAGCCCCTGTTGCTGTATCTGCATGGGGTGGGGGAAGACGGAGGGCTT